GGGGTAGAGAGAGAAGAGGGGAGGGGAGGGGAGGGGAGGGGGGATAGTAGAGGATAGGAAAGGCAGCAGAATATAACAGACACTAGTATGGCAATATGTAAATCAATGGATGTGTAACCGATGTGATTCTGCAATCTGTATACGGGGTAAAAATGGGAGTTCATAACCCACTTGAATTAAAGTGTGAAATATGATAGATCAAGAACTATGTAATGTTTTGAACAACCAACAATAAAAATTAAAAAAATAGTTGTTAAACACCAAAATATAATTAAAAAATTGAAAATGTGTAAGGCATTATTTAAAAAATGAGGACAAACTGGGTGTGGTGGTTTGAGCCTGTAGTTCCAACTACTCAGGAGGCCGAGATGGGAGGATAACTTGAACTCACATGAGTTCCAACCTGGGTAACATTGTGAGACCCTGCATGGAAAAAAAGTGTTTATATTGTGTAAATTTAAGGGAGAAAGTCAGTAGCTCTCCTTTGTACACACCATACTAAGATGTACTAGATATTAAAAATGTCTAGTTTTTTTCCTTTCCATTTTCTGCTTTAAATGGAGAGAAAAAAAAAAGATAATTTGAAAAGGATCTAGAAAATACTTGCATAAGGAAGAGCCTCCAGGCAGAAAATATTAATTTGATTGTAATGATTTTTTATTTTTGTGGGACTGGGAATTGAACACAGGGCCTTAACTATGCTAGGTACCATTAAGTGCATTGAGTTGGGTCTTCCTAAACTGCCCAGGCTGGCCTCAGACTTGTGATCCTCCTGCCTCAGCTCCACCCTTTCACCTCCCATAGTAGCTGGGATTAAAGACATGAACCACTGCAGCATAACTTACTTTTAATTATAAATCTAAATATACTTCGAATAATTAGTAAACTAGAAAAAAAAAAGCTAGTGTTATGTTTAAAATTAGAGTTTAAGGGAAAGTGATTTCAGTCTGCCCTAACTTAGGTCTTGGCATTTGAATATCTATTAGGTATACACAGCCCAGGCTTGTTGTGTAGCAGATACAAAACACATGATTGTGACTTCCACTATGAATATTCATGGTAGGATTGAGGTTGGAGATACTTAACTGTCATGTTAGAAGTCACTAAAGACAGGGAAATTTTAAGTGAGAAATAAGAGTTAGACTTTTTAAAAAAGCTAGAACAGGGATTTAAATAGTTGAAGAGGAATGGGCAATATTTAAAAATGAACAGAGTGACAAAGAATAAGGCATATTAAGCCTGTAATCCTAGAGACTCAGCAGACTGAGGCAGGAGGATTTCGAGTAAATTTGAGATCAGCCTGAGCAACTTAGCAAGGCTCTGTTCTCAAAATGAAAAGGGCTGGGTGCTAGGGATATAGATCAGTTGGCAGAGTGCTTGCTTTGCATGCACAAGGCCCTGGGTTCAATTCAAGTGCGCGCGCGCGCGCACACACACACACACACACACACACACACACACGTGGGCTGGGGTTGGAAATGTAGCAAATGTAGCTCAGAGGTAGGACACTCTGGTTTCCATTCTTTGAGTAAGTTGACTTTAGGAAGATTGGAACATGGCTCCAAATCTATCTTCCTAACTACAATTGTTATAAAAACTATTCTTTAAGCAGCACAGAAGATTTGTATAGAGAGTCAATTAAAGAAAGTTGGTCTATAGGGCATATAGTAACTGACTTGAAGAAAAAAATTGGAGGATGAAGAACCTACATATGGAACAGCTTTTTAAACCCACAGGCTAACTGTATTTCCCTGCTAAGAAAGGAAATGGGGAAATGAGCTCTGTAGCTGTTTGGTTGACAAATGAATGTGAAAACAAGGAAGAATAAGAAACCAAATGAAACTTGTCATTGGAAAAATATTCTTTATTTAAATAAATAAACATGTTAAGATGCCAATGACAATAGTTGTTTCCTAAAATTTGACAGTTAAGATTTCCCT